AGACTCTAGTGGATAACTTTCTGATGGGTCTACCTACATAAGAGGCATCACAATCATCACATTTTAATTTGTAAATACCACTTTTATCAAGTGTATTCATCCTATCTTTGGTATTGATTAAGAAGGAACCTAAAGTGTTATGTGATTTAAAGGAAATTTTGATGTTATCAAAATTTTTACTTCTACAATTGATAACATCAAAATTTCCTTTAAATCACATAACACTTTAGGTTCCTTCTTAATCAATATCAAAGATAGGATGAATAAACTTGATAAAAGTGGTATTTACAAATTAAAATGTGATGATTGTGATGCCTCTTATGTAGGTAGAACCATCAGAAAGTTATCCACTAGAGTCTCTGAACATTTGAAAAGACCAAACTCTTCAAGTTTTGGTCAACACTTAGTATCCAGCAACCACAATTTTAACATCAATTCTGGTTCATCTATCTTACATGACATTAGTAGAAAGAAAAACTATCTTGTGTTGGATTTATTGGAAGATTTGGAGAATACAAGAGAAACAAATGAAAACTCTCACTGTCTTAATACTCAAATTAATTTAAATTGTACTAAATTTAATCCTATATTTAAAAACTTTATTACAGCTCCACCTCGTAGAGGACCCAGCTCGACTGTTTAGACTTCATGCACTGAGCATTTCGATATTAATTTTAAAGTTCTTCCATTGACTGTGGATTCAACTGAACTACTTGGATTATAAACCATTTACAATTTTGATTTTATCTTTTATTAATTTAACTGCATATTCAGATTTTTCCTTTTTTACAGTACTGATAGCGCTTGGTGGACCATTTTATTGTAGTCAACCATCCACTGTCTAATATATTGTTTAGTCTTTTTCTTACATTCATACTTTATGTCAACTTTTATTGCTCTCAAGCTAACATCCTAATTATTATAGACAGGTTTGAGTGTGAGATTTGGATTATTCAATCTACATAAAAAAATATTCTATATAATTTTATATTTCATCAATTGATTTCCTATAGTGGTGTCAGTTGGACCTTTGGTCAATACTTAGTTTCATAGAATTTTGAAAGGTGCAGATCACATATTTGTTGTAACCGCCCTTTACAAGCTGTCATTTGTCACATGTCATCTCAATATTTCCGCCAGACCGGGAGGCATTCTGTCTCCGGCTTTTATATAACATGTAGCTTCCCCATTTTTAAAAATTTTAAAGTGTTTGTTTGTCTTTCTGTATTGTATTGTTATATCCAAATTTACATGTATGACATTCTTCTCATGTCGGATAGGCCACAACTGACGAAGTAAGTCTATAAACGTTTATCACATAAAAACTTTTTTCAACCATAAACTTCGAGTTTTTTATCGAAGTGAATTAATTTCCCTTTTTATAAAAAAAAACGTCTCTTGGATTATTTCAGATGCTCCTGAGGATGATCTATTGATCGAAAGTACTTGGGCAAGATTTAATTAATTACTGTGTTTGATATTTGCCTTGTATATTATCAAAATTTATAATTCTATTGCTCCACGGTTTTATTCTCTACCTAAAATACATAATCAATAGCATCAATCAATAGCACAGCTCCTCAGTGACATCTTAACTAATGCTTATAATTTAAACAACAATTTTTAGATTCATTTAAAGATTCATTTGATTTTAGTTATTTCATTAATAATTTCCAATCACCACAAAATAATGTTTTAGATACTTTGATTTAACATCTCTATTTAGCAATTTACCTTTAGATTTAATCATAAGTAGTATTGAAAAACATTGGAATGAGATTTCGAAACATACTAATATTGATTTATTACATTTCAAAACACTTATCTACTTTGTTTTTGATTCTAATATGTTTATATTTAATGTTGTTTTTAATGTAATTTTAACAAATTTTAGGTAGTCCTATGGAATCTAGTCTTTCACCCATTCTAAGTAGCTATGCCATGGATAATGCTATCAGTGATTGTATCAATAATTGCACTTTTTTCATTCCGTTTATTAAAAGATATTTAGATGATTTAGTTTTGGCACTTCCTAAACACAAAATTTATGAAACAGTCAACATTTTCAACATTCATAATCAACATATACAATTTACAGTTGAGGAAGAGGTAAATAATTCTCTACCATTCTTTTACATGAGAATTGTAAGAAATACAGACAATATGTTAAAAACCAGATGTTTCAGAAAACCCATATGTAGTAATAGATTTATAAGCTATTACTCTCATTATCCAAATAAGATGAAAATGAACCTTATAACAGGATTAAAAGAACATGTTTTAAAGATTTCTCATCCAGATTATCTACAAGAAGATCTTTAATTGTTAAAAAATATTTTAATTGAAAACTCTTATCGTCCAGATATGCTACATAGGATGCTTTTTTCTAATATTGTTAACATAATAACTTAACACCATTTTTTGCTAAATCTTAGAATAGTGTATCCAACAATCAGAACATATATTATCATTTACTATCTTTTATACCATCATTAACATCTAAATTAATACAAACACTAAAGGTTATTGACAATATAAAAATAGCAACACAGAACATCAAAACTATTTCTCTTTATATTCCAAAACTAAGTATCCTATAGACAAATTAGATAAAACAAATGTAGTATACAGCATTAGTTGTACTCAGTATGAAGCTGAGTATGTTGGTGAGACCGGAAGAAATCTTTCAAATCGCATTATTTCTCACAAAAGTGATTGCAGAATTAAAAAACCATCGTGGGCTCGGGCAGAGCATGTAATCGACAAAGACCATATTATGGATTTTGATAATATTAAAATTTTGTGTAGTGAAATTAATAAATTCAAAAGGACTTTTTTGGAAATGGTTTGTATTAGCAAAAGTGATAATAATTTAAACAAAAGATAGGCAAAATTTATAATTATATTATTTCTTTGTAGTTTATATATGAAACTAGTGAAATATCACATTTTGATTTAATTTTTCATATATTTGTCACACTTTTTCAGGCATCTAGCAATGGTGAATAAATCTTTTCTTTTTTGTTACTAAACAAAAAAGGAATTTTAAACAAAATTTTATTGTTGGCTTTTATGACATTGAGGCTTAATTATAATTGGTCGCTGTTCTAACTTATTTATAAATTTAATTGTTTTTGTGTTAAAAAACTTTTTCAAAATTAAAATATCAGAGAAACATTTTTAGATTAGAACATTTTATTGACTCCATCTCCAACCCATCCAAAACAGTTATATATTTTTTTCAAACGAGTCAAGTAGTTCCTTTATATATATATATATATATATATATATATATATATATATATATATATATATATATATATGATTATATATATATATATATATATATATATATATATATATATATATATATATATATATATATATATATATATATATATATATATATATATATAATGTCATGTCGTTGGATAAATTTGACGAAATGCCCATGAAAATGCCCTATGAGCGATAGTACTTGTGCAAGATTTAATTAAAAACTGTATTCAGCCTTATACTACTTTATTCAATAATAACTGAAAAATTAAACGAGAATCTTAACTACATTACTTATAAGATTTTTTATGTATACTATTAATTTATTCTTTGAAGTACGGGTTTTTACTTTGTTTACATATTTGTAGACTAACCTATGAAACGATATTCCTGAAGATTTTTTATCAACAGTGCTACTGCTACTGCAACTACGTTGAGACCAAGTTACTATTATTATGTATTATCCCAATATAACATTACAGTGACTATAAAAGTATTAAAAATAAAAAATATTCTAAAAACAACAAACGTAAACAATCATACACGACGATCATAACAATATGGCGAAGTGAAGTCGTTTTTAGTCATGTGGTGCCCTCTCTCTAGATTCTACCTTGATGGTTTAAGGAATACTTAAGAAAACAAATCTGCACTCCCCACGAGAATAAATACAAAAGATATATGTAGCAAGTTGAAAACTGCTTGCCGCTGCTCAGGCACCATGCGAGTAGAAATTTTATAAAGCAGTATTTCTTTAGCTAATAGTTAATTTATTTATGCAGACTAATATCATGCGGAGGTCACATTTTTTAAATAACTCTTAATATTCTTTAAAAATACAGCCGGTAAGTAAAACATTGTAATTTTGAAGTCGCCCATTATTCAATGTGATCGAGCAGTTTTTTAGTTGATTGCCTTTAGATCAAAAAGTGAAAGTCCATTTATCAGGTAGCGTTGGATGTTCTTTTTCTGCTAATTTTTTATGAAAGCGAAGAGAAAAAAGTGTTATTGGAAAAGAGCGATAATTTGTCTTTCTCGTGTAGAACATCATTTACACGTTGTGCTCCATTCAAACTCGCTCCAATTAAGCGGCCATTTGCGAACGAAGGGTCGAATTATGTTGTTATAATGCCGACCTACCTTTTATTTATCGACTTTGCAGTATCGGTTCATTGTTGGTCATGCCACGCAATCTCATATAAACATCAGCGATCAGATGACTATTATTCTTAAAATTATACACTACTTTACTGATACGTTTAACGGTAAAAATATCTATCACATTTTCGATCGAGTAGGGTAGACCGGGGGGAAATCCGATCCGGATGCGGTCGTTGCCTATGCGGTCAAGGTAATTTTCGTTGCAGATGTGGTCATTCTAAAATATTTTGGCAGGTAACGTTGCACTTGCGATCATACATTTGACTTAAAAGCTAGAAATCTAAGAACGTCGTAGATCAGTAACCACCCGAGTTATTAGCAGGACCAGTCAACCCTATTGAAATATTTTAATCCGCTTATCTATATTTCGAACAATAGGTAATGAAAACAGTAATGGCTAAACCACAATAATCCCCTCATTATGGATTTTAGAAAGTTTTATTTGCCTAATTATAAAGGTTGGGGGGAGAATTGCCAAAATTTAAATATAAAAACAAATGCATATCATTTGTATATTGTTATGTTGAGAGATTTTTTAGTGCAGTACGTAACAACTTTTAATAATGGAAAATTTTGAAGCGATTGAATCCACCAAGAGAAAACCTTCTACTCTTCACGCTGGATATCAGTATCAAAAATATAGAAAAAATAAGGAAGATGTTGTAACTTGGGTATGTGTAAAAGAACGTCACCACAACTGTAAAGGGGGGATGAAGACAAAACTGACGGAATTACTTGAAGTTAACAAACATACCTGTTATTTATTTAGCGTATGGCTACATCACAGGTTCATATAAATATATAAATTATATAAATTACAAACAACAGTAAATATAAAAATATTATTCTACAAACAAACATCTAGATTATAAATATATTCGATTGACTCTTTTGTAGCAGCCAGGAAATCTGAAGGGTTGCCATTATAGGATCTAATCGGGCATTCCTCTACCATGTGTTTTACTGTTTGCCTTTCGGCGCCGCAGTCGCAATTTGGTGATTGTATTTTTCCCCATCTAAAAAGTGAGTCGGAACATCTGCCACAGTTCGTCCTTATTCTATTGAGTGTGGTCCAAATTCGTCTCGGTTGGTTGAAGCCCTCAGGTTTGCTTGTAATACATGGCATGTTCCAGTTAGCTGGTGCAGCGTTATTCTCCCATTGTTCTCTCCACCGTTCAGTTACATTAAAGTTTTGATCTACTAGCCTTTTTGCTGTTTTTAGAGGCGGGTGTCTTGAACGGAGCCTATTTATGTCTCTGGCGGAAGTTCCGACATGGGAGCGGAGCTCAGGATCAGTATTGATTTTTGTAAATTCTCTGACAAGGGCATGTTCCCGGCGGATGGGTGGTGGAGCTATATGACTCAAAGCTGGTAACCAGTAAGTGGGCGTGGCCTTGATTGTGCCCGATATAGTTCGCATGGCTTGGTTGAGTTGGACATCAACACGGTGAGTATGTGGACTGTTTATCCATACTGATGCACAGTATTCCGCTACGGGGTATACCAGTCCTAATGCTGTCGATCTAAGTGTGGGTGCTGAGGAGCCCCATGTAGTGCCGCAGAGCTTTTGCAGGATGTTGTTACGAGTTCGGAGTTTTGCAGCAGTCTTAGTAAGATGCTCTTTAAAGTTCAGCGTTCTGTCAAGTGTAACACCTAAGTATTTTGGGTGTTTATTATATTTAAGGAGTCTATCCCCAAAATTGATTTGAGGTTGATAGTTGGCCATCTTGTTATATAAATGAAAGCAGGACACTTCTGTCTTAGTTGGATTGGGTTGCAATCTACATTTTTTCTGTTTTCTCGATGTAACTCTCTTAGAAGTAAAAAGGCTAAGTACATTTTAAAAAAGAAAGCTCGAGAAGAAGACAATTCAACTCCAGATATTTACAAGGAAGATTTCAAAAAACTATTTACAAAAGGATCCAATTTTATAAGTGAAATTCCTTTGTATGCCTCACGTAAGTCTACACTTTGTCGTTTGCTTGTAATACATGGCATGTTCCAGTTAGCTGGTGCAGCGTTATTCTCCCATTGTTCTCTCCACCGTTCAGTTACATTAAAGTTTTGATCTACTAGCCTTTTTGCTGTTTTTAGAGGCGGGTGTCTTGAACGGAGCCTATTTATGTCTCTGGCGGAAGTTCCGACATGGGAGCGGAGCTCAGGATCAGTATTGATTTTTGTAAATTCTCTGACAAGGGCATGTTCCCGGCGGATGGGTGGTGGAGCTATATGACTCAAAGCTGGTAACCAGTAAGTGGGCGTGGCCTTGATTGTGCCCGATATAGTTCGCATGGCTTGGTTGAGTTGGACATCAACACGGTGAGTATGTGGACTGTTTATCCATACTGATGCACAGTATTCCGCTACGGGGTATACCAGTCCTAATGCTGTCGATCTAAGTGTGGGTGCTGAGGAGCCCCATGTAGTGCCGCAGAGCTTTTGCAGGATGTTGTTACGAGTTCGGAGTTTTGCAGCAGTCTTAGTAAGATGCTCTTTAAAGTTCAGCGTTCTGTCAAGTGTAACACCTAAGTATTTTGGGTGTTTATTATATTTAAGGAGTCTATCCCCAAAATTGATTTGAGGTTGATAGTTGGCCATCTTGTTATATAAATGAAAGCAGGACACTTCTGTCTTAGTTGGATTGGGTTGCAATCTACATTTTTTCTGTTTTCTCGATGTAACTCTCTTAGAAGTAAAAAGGCTAAGTACATTTCAAAAAGAAAGCTCGAGAAGAAGACAATTCAACTCCAGATATTTACAAGGAAGATTTCAAAAAACTATTTACAAAAGGATCCAATTTTATAAGTGAAATTCCTTTGTATGCCTCACGTAAGTCTACACTTTGTCGTTCAAGACATTGGCAAATCAGCGTCATCTATTGAAATAGATATTCGACTGGAAATGTTGACATTAGAAGAAGAAGGTCAGAGTTTTTGTGTTTTGGCGACACTGAAGAAGGAGATAGAATTTTATGTTTTTCGACTTCGAAAGAAAAGAAAACGTTGGCAACAAAACATATTTTTTTGTCGACGGTACATTTAAAAGCTCCCCAAAATAGTTTACACAAATATATATCATGCATGTTGATATGGGCAGCACTGACGACGAAACAAGAATTGTTTCTGTGTTGTATGCGCTTTTACCAAACAAAAAAATTGAAAACATATATAAAGTTGTTTACAATACTGACAAAAATACTAGACGGATAGAAATCAACAACAGTGACGCTTGATTTTAAGATGCTGTTATTGAAGCTCTCAAAACTGTTTTCCCAGAGGTTAGACTGCAAGTATGCAATTACCATTTTATTTAATCAATAACTTTAATTTTCAACATAAATTGTGGCTTATTTTCCATTAAACTAGTAAATTTTAAGGTTTATTAAATCAACTATTTTTTCAACTAAAAGAAGCAAGTTTTTTTATATCAAGATACTTTTTGCCGTAATAAAACTAATAGTAAACATTTTCTTCTCTTATCAACGTCTGTGGTAAATATTATTTAAATCTTATAAAAATTATAGAATTATTTATGTGATAGTAGTAGAAAAAGATAAAAATATTATTTGTTTATTAGGCAATGACCGCACACGCAATGATAAAATCAACATATTTTTGTATGACCGCAAATGCAACGACTGCATCTACAATGACACCGACTGTGGGAATCCCGACGTTCGGGGCAATACCGACACAGTGGGTATTGGTTTTATTTCTAGTTGAATATGTCACTGTATAGTGCTGCTGTTTAGAGAGCGACACCACAGCTTTCTGGTATCACTCGTCATTCAATCAAACTAGTTGTTTTATTCTGAATTGTTATTTGTTCTATTATTTTTTGATCTAATTATTGACTTCTCTACAAATGACGGTAACTCTATAACAAAAATGATATTATTATAAAAACACTTAAACTACGCTCGAAGGTTATGAGCGCGATGACTTCTTAGATTGAGTAGATCAGGAGCCGCGTTCATGCCCACAGCCGGTCCCAAGCCCAGATAAAAGAGGAGGGTTGATGGGCCAGGTTAGCATCCTACCCATTGTAAAAGGAAACAAGGCTCAAAGAACCGATATAAAGCCTCGGAACCTAAGATGACGAACCACGCAAATAAAAGGAAATCAAGAATGAACAATAAGCCCACAATCAGATTAGCAACATGGAACATTACTTTTTTCAACAACAAAGACCAAGAGATAATAGAAGAACTAATAAATAAAAACATAGACATTTGTGCAATCCAAGAAACCAAGAAGAAAAGTACAGGCCAAAGAGAATATAACCAATATTTCCAAGCATACAGTGGAGTGAAGAAAGAAGAACGAGCAAGAGCAGGCGTAGGTATACTTGTCTATAAAAAGTTTAAAGACAGCATAAATAACAGCCTTTATATCTCCAAAAGAATAATACATATTAACTCACAATTTACTATCACAATAGACTACCAAAAATTTAATGTCATATCTATCTATAGCCCCGCATGATACAAATACAAACAGATAAGATACCGCGCATGTGGGCGTGGCTTATGCATGACTTTTGTGACGTCAACTTGTGCTAAATTTCACCATATTGTGTTTTGACGTTTATGTACATTTATGGTTCATAGCCAATATTTAATAAAATAATATTTTAAAAGTGTTACAAGGCTTTAAATTTTTCCCGATATGAGGTGTGCAGTGTATGGTTGTGCCGTTGACAATATGTGCAAGAGTTTTGTACCCGGTACAGCATTTTATAATATTCCAAAAGACAAGGAAATGCAAGCTGTTTGGAAACATTTGTGTAAACGCCAGGATAATTTTAATGTTAAATTTGCTCGTGTCCTAAGCACTTTGATGAATGTGATTGAAGTGATGAATCGGTCATTCAGGTTGGCAAAATATAAAACAGAAGTCAACTACTTTATAAGTTTATAGAAGACGTTTCGGTTTATACTTCTAAATCTTCATCAGTTCTAACTCAATATGTAGTATTAAAGATTTTATTATATATGTACTTAAGTTTACTCATTATTTAGAACTAACTTAAAAAAAACAGAAACAAAGGACACAAAAACTTTGCAAAAAATAATATTCGCAGAAACGAAGATTTAACAAAATTTTAAATGTACATTTGGCTTCATTTAGAGATGGTTCTCCAATGAAGACAAACAAAACACTGGTGAGTGTTTTGTTTGTCTTCATTGGATGGTCCAAACACTGGTGAGATTAAATAACCATATTTTAGCTTATCTTGAAGAAGCTAATAAATTTTTGTGAAAGCTAAATAAAAAAACAAAGGGTTTTACTTATTCTGCCCTATTAATGACTGCAACCTCAAAAGAAATAGTTTGCCTAACGTGTCAGTCAATAATACAATAACTAACTACTATATACTGTATATACATATAAAATATATATTGTATGAAAATCACATTCCATAGTTTGCAATTTGTGGCATTCGGCCATGGCTCCCTCCATCAAACTTCACTCTTATGGGAAATTGTTATTTTTTACAATATATTAATTTAAATACTTAAGCTTAAATTCACGTAGTAAATAAAACATCTAGTAAATAATTGATGGATTCGACCGTTACTTGATGGAAATTCATTTTATGTAACAATAAAACACTGAAAACTTTGTTTTCAAACTTCCACAACAACGGATACAACGAACAAACAATTAAT